GACGAAGGACAGGCATGGACGGAGGGCGTTTTGACTTTGAAACTTGTGGCGCCCCGGCATAGAGTTGAGGACTACTACGTTGTTATCTTGAGGAAGAGGCGCGTAATACAATTACCAGCGGTGGCGTAGAAATCGCGCAAAGGCGGAACCCCGCGCCCCCCGCGGATGCCGACGTGATGCAAACGTAAATATAGCGCGCCCGCGCGATGCGTTCTACGGGTTATCAGCGTCGGAGCACTATAGAATCGGATTCCAACGTGCAATTTCTTTCTCAGGATATTTCAAAGCTTTGAATCGGAAGATAGATAATATAACTATATAACAACCCGATGACGCATTACCTAATATATACAGAATATTTTTACCGCATTAGATTTCACAATTCTGGCATCTTCAGTCACACATTTATGAAATGTCGAACCACCTGTACTTTTTCAATTCAAAGAATCGTGAAAACATTATTTTCGCAGACTAAATTTCTGTGACATAATTATGTAAAGAATATCTCTATTATTATAATTTCATGTAACTTTTATTTCTTTGCAACTTTAACTTATTCCTATATCGTACTCGAAACAATGGGTTGCGATAGTTTATCGCATAATTTTTCAAACATTTGAATCTGCACGTGATTATAATTGGCACGATTATTTTTGAGATCTTCGTAAGTTCTTTTAAATAATAAAAGTTCTTTTATTCGTGTTAGACTCGCCGAGTAAATGGAATCGAGAACAAAATACTTGATCTCCGCTCATTTGCGAGAAATTTGGATAACAAAGAATTAATTTAAAGAATATTAAATGATTTCTAAATACTTTAATATTACAATGAGTAATGATTCTCTCAGAAATATTCTTTAAAAAATCGATAATGTATTCATCGTTAGATTCGCGCGATATTATTGCGCGTTTTAAGGATAGGTGTTATGGGGAGAGTCTGGATCCAGCTGCAAGACTGTTTCAATCGTAGCTTGATTCAATCCAATCGCGTGTGATACGCGGCGTCCGATTAGAATGCCGCCGTTGTACGATCGTCATTCTCGTCATCATTATCGCTCGACACGCGGGCATATGCGAGGAAGCGCGCGACACGGAAGAGTGGGGTGCAATATCGAGACGGAGAAAAGGCAGCACAGAGGAGAATCGGGCCATCGGAGCGTTAATCTTCGTCCAGACGATCCTCTTTTATTATAACTAACAAAGAAAAAGCGAGTTCTCGCGCTGTAAGATTTTATTTGCTTCATAAAAATTGCCAGCAAATAGTGGAATGTTTCGTGGCGCGCCTCATTTAGACTGCATGCGATCAGCGCTTTCAATGATCGCGTCTTCCCCCAGCTCTGATCTCTCCCGTTCCCGAAGTGTGCGCATGGAAACGATTATTTAAAAGGAATTAAATTTACTTTACAATTATGTTCTTTCTAAATGTTCGTCATGCGCCACCCAAACCGAAAAAATAACTAAATTATATTAAATTTCTTCGTTTTGATATCACTTTGGTGCGCTTCGTTATACACATCAGACAGATATCGCATCGCGGCCGACAGTCGTATATCACATATTTCGAACAGTAGCACACAAGCGCGTTGTCTTCCTGAGCGTGCCAAAATACTACACGATAAACGGGCAGTTTCATTTCTTTTCCGTCTAGAGAGTATCTAGTTGGCGCCCGTTTGTTTCGAATGCGATCTGAACGCGAAGTGCACGATCAGGCATGCTTCGCTGTCTTTGCACCAATATCAAAATATTTGGTGGTTACGATTCTGAATAATTCTACCCTAGCTGGCAGCTGGTTCTGTTGTTTTATTTCGACGTTGCTTCAGCTTCATTCGATGGAGAAAAGGAGAACATCCCGTAGGTTGATCCAGAAGACCGAAGAGACCGAACAGTATCCTCCCGCATACGGCCCTCTGTTGACTGAACTGACTTAAGTCAACGCCGCCCACGGTCTGGCACGCGGCCTCCAGCGCCAGCCAAGACAAAGAGGGATGTACCGCGCGAGGGGTTGAGAGATATGGAGGACGTCATCGGGGGACGTGGATCGTACGTGCGACGGAGACGGAGAGGCTGCCGAGATGGAGTGCGAGGTGGCGAGGCTGAAGGATGAGGTGCGACGACGACGGGACGAGCGGAACTGCGAGAGAGACGCGGCAGAGTGAGAGTGGCGGCGAAGGGTTCAAGTATAAGGATACCGAGGCATGCGCCGTCCTATCATATTGATCTCTCCATAGTAACGATTCTCTCTTCTCCGGCGATGTTGGGATGCACTATAGCCACGGGAGGAAGAGGGACGCCAGAGAGTGAGCGAGAAGTTGTGCGGGAGGGTTCGGAGGAGAGAGCGAGAGAAAGAAAGAGAGAGAGAGAGAGAGAGGAGGAGAGAGAGAGAGAGGGAAAAGGGCAGGCAGGTCGTACCGCATGGTGTACCACGCCACCCCACGATGCGCGGATGTGGGCCGCCGAGGGTTGAACGCGAGGGAGAGCGTGGGATGAAGAGAAAGAGAGTTGCCGAGGTAGTCGTAGAGGGAGAAGGTATATGTGACGAGAACAAGAGCGATCTGGTGAGAAAGCAAGAGAGAAGATGAGGGACAGAGAAAGAGAGAGAGAAAGAGAGGGGGAAGGAGGAGAAATGAAGAGACGAAGAGGACTGCGAGAGACGGATAGTGTCGGTGATCGAGATAGAACGATGATACGGAGGGGGATGTAGAATGATGGAGAGGGGTGGGATCTAGACGCGCACGGCGACTAGCAGGTGTACACGCTGGACTAGACAAAGAGGATGGAACCTGCAGGGGTGAGAGGGAGAGAGAAATATGGAAAGAGCGAAAAAGAGGGAAGGAAAGACGGAGATATCACGACTATCACGAGCGACTGAGAGAGCGAAGGTGGTGTCGGTGCCTCGGTGGTGACTGGTGAACGGTGGCGGTAGACTACCACAGAGCTAGCGCCAAAGCGGGTTGAAGCGGCAGTACCGCGCGGCGCTGCAGCTAAATGAGAATCAGTCCAGCGTTAGTCGCCGGCGAGGTCGCACCTGACAATCCCCGTTGACGGGAGAGAGTGATAGCACAGTAGGCCCCGCGACCGAGATTTCAGAAGGGTCTGCCCGACGCGCGCGCGCCTATTCCATAAGCGGAAGGGAGAGAGATCAGGGATGTTCTCGCGGTACTGTCGATCGCACGCGTTCTGAGACCCGCAGTACCGAGGGTGAATAGAGCTTTTCCCCCCTCGTCGTTCACTCTGACCCGATGCTGCAACGGCCAAGCGAACGCGGGAAGTCCGGCGTACGGGACGAACCGACGATCGGATTGCGGTTGCGTTCCTGAGCCCTGATTTTCTATACAGCATCGCGAAATCTGCTCATCAAGCCTCGTGATACCGCCAGCTGCGATCGTTGGCGACCGAGGTCCGACCGATATCTCCCGGTCACGCTCGTGATCGGCGCCGTTGCCGTCGGGGATTGTTGGCGAGGGATCGGAGTGCGAGAGGGACTTACCCGAGGTGGTAAGCGGGATCCGCAGGCGAATCCAAATCGGAAGAGATGTCCGCGCTGCCCGACGATGTCGCGTCGCGGTGCAAGCTGTCCAGGCCATAGTGCACGCAGGTTGTACCATCCGGTACGGGATAGCGGCGTACGACAGCATCGGGACATCGCTGCTTGGAGGCGGTCACGTGCCCCCGACGGAGCTAGGACGATGCACCTGGCGAGCCCGGTGCAGGTGCGACCGGGCGGGCCCTGAGGATTCGCGATCGCTCGCTCCGTTCCCATCGCGCCGAGCGGCTCGCCGCCGGGGACAGCTGATCTTCTTCCGGGGTGGTTCAGGTCGAGGTTCGTTCTCGCTCGGTTCGCGCCTGCTGGCAGCCACGTGCGAGGACGCGAGCGGACAAGCGGCGGTGAGGAGGCGGCGGTGGCGGGGAGAGAGGTGGAGGAAATCGGCAACGTGGAGGAGGTGCTCGTCGGTTGCCAGGCTGTCGAGGAAGCTGCCTCGTTCCGGCATCTCTTCGAGCAAACATGAGACGCTCGTGGACGCTCGTCGCGGCGATAGCCCTGGCTGCATCGGGTGAGTGACTCCACTTTCAGGAGAGTGCCTCTACCATTAGCCCGACAATGTCCGTCTACATTGAACCTTAATTGCGACGTGAGCTCCGTCCACTGTATGTCTCGCTTACCGGCGGTCCGGCCATATGCTTCTCTCTGGCTACAGGACGTTTCTTCGACAGTTTTCGTCTATACATCCCACTCCCACGTCGTCCCTTCCACAAGTGTCCGTCGACGTCACGCGTCACTCGTTGCTCCGAGCTTCCATCTTTCTTTCCAACGCTGCGAACGCACGATAAAAACCTGTAGAAACGACGTATATCGTTGTACGTATCTCACAGATGTATAGCATCGATCCGCTCCTCTTCAGCATTGTTCTCGAGAGTAATTAAAATCGTCGTCGGACGCGGTTGACTATTCCGAACAGTAACCAGTGGCGCCGACATTCCTTCTGTGGTCGCTGATGTCACAGCGATTCGTTTCCATCACGCGCGACTTTTTATTTTATGATTCGTAGCGATATCGCTTGGGCTCGCGATCAAAAAATGTAATCAGCACTGTAAACTCGCACCTGGATGAATTTCGATTTCTAACGCAGACCGACAACTTCACTCGGAAACTCGCTGCTTTCCAGAATTTTATGAATCTCGAATCCTCACGATCTTAGTTATATATACATATATATATAATATATATATATTTATAGGAAAGCTGGAAGAGCTCGACCGCCCGCTTGTCGAGTAATAACGTGAAATTCTTCAAATTTGAAGTTTCGCGCGAATCGTCGTCGCAATTAATCATTTATTCGCCAGTTTCGTTTTCGAAATTCACGCGAGTCTTCTATTCGAAAACAGATAAATTTCTTAGTTTCGAGTTTGCACGAAAGGGGGGGAGGGAGGGGAATTGTCGTCAGCAAATTTTGTTTATATGTACGATCGAGCACGCTCGTCACGATTCTTCATCCCGTTTCTCCCGTTCGAGTGAATCAGATCTCGAAATTCTTCAACATTATTTTCCAGATCACGAGAGAGAACGATTCCTCTTGATCTAAGAAAATCTTCAATTTCGTTGTTTATATACGAGAGATATACTTCTCTATTTCGCGATGATCCCCCTCCCCCCTTCCTCCCCCTCCCGCTATTCGCCGAGACACCCGGATTCGAACTTTGTTTCCGAATATCGCGCCAGGCGGTTAAATATCAAGGTTACCGGCCGGATTACGAGGGGAAGGGCGAGTTTCGCTTTCCGGCGTGGATGTTCATCGCGATCCTCCATCTCTCCAACGTCGCTCTCTCGCTTCCGGGATCGACGGGCGAGCGCCTCGTCGAGTTTCGACCTTTGAATGGAGCAGGCAGATATAGAGCATCCGCAATCCCGGGAGGGGGGGGAGGAAGGAGGCAGGGGCGACACGAGGAGCGGGGTGGGATGGGGGAAGGAAGGGGGAGGGGGGGGGAGGGTGGACGCGGCGTTTCAATATTGACGTCAACCCGCGACGCTTCCAGAGCGACGCGATGCCTCGCGCCTCGTTAGCGGCACGTTGATGCCACCAGCTGGAAATCAAAACGCGCGCGCGTGCCGCGCGCCAAATCGCCTTTCGCACAAATATTTGCGCGTTGCACCGACGAGAGACGAGAGGTATTTTTATTGTGCCGAATCGCGTTGTCTTTGGACGTTCCTTCCTTACGCGTTGTCTTCGCCTGCGACCTCGGGAAATGAAAAGATATAGCGCACGGATCGTTATCGCTGGATGAATCTCAGAAATGGAATGTACAGCCTGTAAAATTAAGCAAAACAACCGTTCAGACTGTTGTGTAGCGATATATTATTACGCAAGAGATATTACGATATTGAAAATTATATGATGACTGAAGATTCGCACTCTTTCCTTTTTTTTTCTTATCTTTCATTCCGATGTAGAAAGTTTTCAAGAAAGTTGCGTCGTATCTGAAAAGGTGGAAAATGATGCGGCAGCTGCGAAAATAAAATCACAATGGATTTCTCTCTCTTCAGAAATAATAATAACTAATAAATGGGATGCATATACCGAACTGACAATTTCCTTCTTTGAAAAATGTTGTTGCGGAAATTAAGCGTTCAGTTCAACAACTACTCATTTAAAAATGATCTCTTTCGGCTTTAAATTTATTATGACCGCTCGTGTCGCTGGAAGCAGCTGTAATAAATTTGAGCGGAATGTAAATTGCCGCTATCTCTTTCGTCCCTCGCGCGTTGCGAAACGTTAATTAATTGCAACGTGTCTGTTAAAAATAATAACCGTTCAATTCCCGTGCCCGTACTCTTAATCGCGCCGCCGCGCGCGAATATTTTTACGTTCGGAAACAACACGAAAATTCCATTATGAAACGTGTGTCGCGCGTGTTGACCGAGATCGAATGGAAACATTCGCCTCCCCCCTCCCCCCTCGCCAGCAGTCGCGCGGCGCGTCAAAAGCTGTCCCCGACCTGCACTACCAAATTGTGCATGTTGGCCCCGTGTAAAATGTAAATTAGGAAGTTACCCACCTCGTCCACGCGTGTCCGGAGGTCGTTCTGTCATGACGTATCGTGTTGATTAATTAGCATCCCCAGCGCCGGCTGGCAACGCCGTCGCCGCGCGCCGGTTGGCCGGGGCTGGCGCATCCGGCGCCGCCGTTGCAGACGTCGCTCGCCGCGCCGGTCGGAATAGAAAATGGTTGTAAAAATCGTAGTCATCCCACGCCGCAAGAAAGCACCGGCAAGTGTTCTTCTCTCGAAGAAGTGATTAATGCGTGCTTTCGTCCGGTCGAGACGATCGATTGCTGTACTCCAGGAAAAATCTTTGGGTGTTAAGCGAGACGCATCGTTTGTACGCAAACTCTTTTCCGCAAATGGACAGAATTTCCGGAATTGACAGAAATTTTTTTCGATTTACTGAAATATCAATTTTTTTTTACATTTTTGTACAATTAATTTTACCAGCTGACTCGATATTTATCAAATTTTCGCGATTTTTTATTTTTGTAGAAAGATATACTGAAATGATTTACGAGGTGAAATTTGAGAGGTACTTTAATTTAATGCACTGCATTAATTAATTAGAGTCCTATGATGCGAACTATTCGTGCCATCTTTGTCATTTTAAAAAACTACTATTACCTATGTATGGACCGAGACATTTGCCTTGAGCATTTTTAATTTTGTTTTTAATATTTTCGCAAAATATTCATTGTTTTCAAAGAATAGATTTTGTATTGTTTTACACATGGGATATAAAAATCTTTCTCGTCATTTTTTTTGTGACTTTGTTGAACGTGTTTGTGAGCATGACAAAGCTTATTTTTAAAAAAAATATATATTCCTGAAAAATGAAAAAGATGCTCGGCTTAAAAAAAGCTGTATATTGCATTTATTCGATCTGAATATCAACTTCTACAAATACGATAAAGAACTCTCAGATCTGTAATTATTTAATAATAAACGCGATGATATAACAATATGAAATTGAAGTTCTAAAAATTGATCTAAAAAAATTGTTTTACTTACCTGCATTTCCGCTCCACTTTTTGGATTCTGACAAGTATTAATTTTTTTTTTACAATTTCAGATATTTAATTATCTTTGGAAATAAAACTGTCAAACGGAGATTTAATAGATACGTAAGGAAAGAAAAAGAAACATGTAGCGGCATAAATCCAATCAGAAATTGAATCTAAATTCCTTTGTAAATTTGCTCTAACGTTACAAACGTAATCTATATATTTTTTTGTTTTTCATTTTAATGGTCTCTAAGGCGAATTCGAAGATTCTGTGATGCATTGTGTCAGTTAATTAGAAACCTACGCTATAGTAGCATTTCGTAGCGCATTCGGCGAATAATTACGTCTACTGAGGCTTCTGAGAATTGCTGACCTATCCACCCACGCGGCACCAGGGATCGTGCGTTCGTAGTAATCGTAGTAATATAGCAAATGGAGGAAAGAATGGCAAGGAAGCATCGAAACCTCTTTTGAATTATTCACATAAATTTTTTTATAGCAACATTTTCTACAATCATTTCTATAACATTTCTCATTAATCGTATCGTTTCAAAGTAGAATTTCTAAAATTCAATCTCTTGACGGTATCACCGATATTCTAGCAGGATTAATTTCGAATAAAATATTTTCGATCGATACAATTTTCTTTTAGAAGCTAAATGTTGGGTAACTAATTGAAAAGGATCATATTTAAAGAGAATGTTGCAGATGCGATAACTTTTTGGACGGTAAGGAACTAACCTCAATTATAAAATTCGAACACCCACGGAAAAACGACATTATCTCTTATCCTGCTGTTCCATTTACGTCACGTGCAAGCAATTCGAAAATGAAACCTGTCTGTGTGACTAGAAATTTTAAATGTAGTTATTCTTGAATATTTCCGTACTTATCCGTTAAAGGGAAGTGCGGTTGATTAGAACCTATCGTGTGTGTTTATCCTTTCACTTTCACAATAACACTTTCACCTTGTAACAGTTTGTAATTATTACATCGATCACACACGCGTTACATGAAGAGATTGCCGGATACAGACGGAACGGATCCCGAAAGTTCGGCCATGTTATTTTTAACTTCCGGACTTTGGCGGTAATTCCGAGATTTTTGTGTAATCCGTTCTAAGAAGCTCTGTGAGAAACTGTGCTGTTGCTTGAAAATTTTAGACATTCTTGAAAGTCCGTTCGAGGAAAATCCCTGCGGAGGGGATTCACTTCGCTTGACGAATCTCAACGTTTCTCGAAAGAGACGGTCCTGCAAGAGCTGCATATTCTAAAACATTATCTTCCCGTGGTAGTCTTTCAGCTTGTTCACGAAACGTAATCACGTCTCAAAAATATTTTAGAAAATAGGTTTGGAAAAAGATCTCAAACATATCCATCGTACGTGCAATAAAACGTCCTGTATATCCTACGTTACCTCGCTATTTAACCTCGCTATTTAAAAATAACGAAGTTTTTTATATTTCTTGGGTGAAAAGCATGCAAGTGTAAAATAATATTATGACAAAT